TAACCACTGATTTGTAGTCGTGTCCTCTTTTGGAAGACCAAACAAAGTAGTTTTGCTTTCACAACGAAAAACACGGCGGCCTAGCGTGAGTGGAAGCCGCGGCTTAGCGTGAGCGGAGGCGGAGGGGGTTGAGAATGGCGCGGCCGGCGGATTCGACGAAGGTGCGGCAACCACATGTGACGACCCCGGGCTGGACTCCACTTCGTCCACGGTGAAAGCCGATCCAGGAAACACAGAAGCTGCATGGGATGAATTTCCCACACAGAGGGACATGAATACATTTAACCTGCAGTTACAAATGCATAAATAATATTTTGTTATTTTAAACATAAAACATTGAATACTGATATTTAAAATTATTATAAAAAAAATTAAAAGATACTTTAAATGGGAAATTAAAACCACCAGTAGGTGGCAGCAAGTCACTGTTAATAAGTGAGTCATTGCGACTGATCCGAATCATTTAAATGGTTGATTCATTCAGGAACAAAACAGCTTCATTGTTGTCGAAATAGAGCAAAAACAGTCAATATTGTCTCTAAAATGTAAGTGTCTTAATATTAAATTCTTGTTTATTGAACTCCTTTATAAAATTTGCAAGGGCGTAAATTTCGTCTAACAGTTGGGGGGGACAATAAACATAAAATTTCTCAAGAGCAATTTTTGAAGGGGACACAAATAATACAGCTAAAATTGTACTTGTAAGGATATTTATATACAGTGGAAAGCCTTACTACTAACAGTGTAGCAGAGAGACCGTACTATTAGTATAGCAGGGAGACAGTGCCAAATTAGACAACTTCAGGCTGTTATCGTGTCGCAACAGTGCTCGTGTCAAGTTGAAGACATTACTATTCGTCACAGTGTTGCCAAGTCCGCGGTTTTCCCACGGAATTGGGCTACTTTATCACTGTTGCCGCGGGTTGTTTTTCATGTCCGCGGGTTGAAGCGACCCCAATAATGTGTATTTTAATCACCGGAATGCGATTTTTACCGGGGAACCCCCTCGAAACGCAGTTAGTTTGGGGTAGTTTTGAGTAGCAATTGGGAGGGGTTTTGTTGTGAAAACCTGGCAACCCTTTCCGTCAAGCAGCTGACGTTATTATTGCTAACGTAGTGGATTCATCGAAAAATACATCATAAAGAGAAAATAATCACTACATCCGATGTTTAAGTGAATGAAATAGCCTTGACAGACTTACTGGAGTTCCACAACTATTGGCTTTGTTCTCTCTCACCGGACTTGTGTGTGTGTAGGTGATGTAAAAGAGGAAAGCAGGCATTTGGACCAAAGCACTGTGAGACAAGGGAGGGGGAGACTCAAAATGTTTCTAAACTTAAAACGCATTTTTGCCCCGTTTGTGTTGTTTTACTACTTACACAATTATTTAAAGTATAAAACATTGTTATTTATAACACACAGCGTTTTTAATCATATTTTTTTTGGGGGGGGGGCAACCCTCAGATGGGGGGGTCCTGTCCCCCCGACCCCCCGGGATTTCTGCCTATGCACATTTGTAATCACGCTGCTTTTTGGTGGAAAAAACGTCAGTCTTCGCATGATTCTGATTAACTATATGAAATTATATAAATATATACATTTCTGCCCCCCTATCATGAATTTTGTTATCGTTCTAAATGCATTTTAATAAACTGAATCTTTAAACTTTAGCTAACTTACATGGTAGCACTCTCATGAGTCATGGATGTTAGCAAGAGAAATGAACTATATTTGCCTTTTGTCTTTTGGATAATTAGCTGTAAATTCGAGGCACAGGTAGCTTAGTCTTTTGTTCATCACCACTCACCTCCACACCAAGACAAACACAACTGGAAAGGGAGGGAGGGCTTCACTTCTGCGGCTCTCTGCCTGTCTGTGATGTGATGTGCAGCTGATCAATGAGTGCTACACTGCTGTGCTGCGCAGAGACGCGGAGGTGAGAAAGGCATTGGAACTCCACAGAGTCTCAACATTTCCCGAGTCTCGACCTGATATTTAGATTTTTTATTTGTTTGACAAGGAAAGTTGTGCGCAAACAGAAACACACACACGCACACATACATATATTCATTTATTAAAAAAAAAAAAAACTCCCCAGAAAAAAAGGGTACTTTCTCTCGAGTAAGAAAAAGGGCAAGTGCTCAAGTCCCCTTTGATGTCTATGTGTGCATGTGCCTGTTTAAGCACTATCACTTTAAGCACAAATGCCTTTCCAGTAGAATCAGTATCACATTCATTATACACTGAATACTGTCATCATTTATCGCTTTTGTTATTCATGTACCACAAAAAAATACTACAGTATTTTCTTGTAACATTTGACAACCAAAGCAAAAATTCTGACAGATTGTGCCCAAAAATGAAATTACTTCAGTGTCACATGATCCTTCAGAAATATTCTAATGTGCTGATTTGCTGCTCAAGAAACATTTCTGGTTATTATCAATGTTGAAAACAGTTACATTATACATATACATTATATTTTTCAGGATTCACAGATAAATAGAAAGTTCAAAAGAACAGCATTTATTTGAAATATAAATCTTTTGTAACATTATAAATGTCCTTACTGTCACTTTTGGTCAATTTAATGCTTCATTGGTAAATAAAAGTATTACTTTAAAATATATATATATATATACATATATATAATACATTTAATTTAAATTAAATATTGCTGACCCACATTTTTTTTCATAAGTGATAAGTTACTGTAAGGGTCAAACTGTAGTTCTTACTTTTTATTCCATATATTATGCTGGAGTTTTGACTATATACTTGAATTTGCTCACTTGATGAATGTTCATTTTGTACCTTGGCGTCAAGTCTCAATATTACATCCAAAGCAGTGCAGAATTAAATATTATTCCCTCTTCTTTCAGCATATGCAGTAAAATATATTTATTCCAGGCGTGACGTATTCTGATGTTCGTTCACTGTGTCATATATGTATCTGCAGCGTGAGATAAGCTCTTTTGATGGAGACAAATCATTGCATGTTATTGTTCTCCATTTCTCCGTAAATGTCATGTGACTGAAAAATTTGCTTAGGGTGCAAATATGCAGAACATTGTTTATTATTTTTTTCTATTGATTTGTGGGTGAAGTGTGACCTGATGGTCTGTTCTGGAGATTCATCATCACATCACACGTTTCTGTTTGTTTCACTGGTTGCTCGCGGTCAAGCTGCTTCCTGCGCTTTTGATGCCTCACATCACTCATCCAAGACAAATGACCATCAATCTACAGACGCCTTATTGTGCTTCAGATGAGCTCGTGTCTACATGCCTTCCTGTCTCTGTATTTCCCTCCAATACACATGAAAAAGTCCAATCAGCCAGAGGTCTCGCTTCAGTAAAGTCCACTGACCCCCTCCCGCTTCATAAACACAGAGATGATCATTTGTACAGTATGTTGCACATTGTAAATACTGCATAGTTTTGCTGACTTGAATACGATCAGTTTTGAGTATATTGACTATTTCACATTGGCTGGGAATGTGGCTCAACCAATCAGAATGCAGAATTTTATAACTGAGTGATGTCGCACTTGCAGTAACTTTGTTCTGATTGGGCTGCACGTAGTCACATGATATTCAGACCAGCAGCATGACTGTAAACATGGTGTATATTGAGAACTTTCATTTCTGACATAAATCGAGGTAGCTTGTATATTTCTTTCCTGTCTACAATAATAAGTCCAAAAGAAGGCAAAAACTGCAGGTTTTACTGAAGCTGTTTTTGCACTGATGCCAGACTTGTCATCAAAAAGACCCATTACCACATTTTAGTTGCTATATAAAGCTTGAATTTCCATTAAAACAACTGATGATATAAAATCACTCATAACCTGATATGATATTTTGATCAACGCTCAGCCTTATCTGCACACTTTGAAGGTGACCTTTTTCTTTGCACGGAAGGTTCATCATAATTAAGTGACCATTTGAAAAGCTGTGAGCAACGGTAAAGGTACGACAGTCCTAGAATTTGTGTCTGCATAATATAGAGCTCTGGCTATAAATCATGCTTCATAAATATTGCAAGGTTGTTGCCTATGTATCATGTATATGTGTGTCTGTTTATATTCTGATTTCCATATCAGCTATTCTTATTCCATTGTTTTGCTGTACTGTGCATTTATTACGCTGTGCTTATGCTGTACACACACACACAGACACACACACACACACACACACACACACACACA